TTAATTGTCATGAAAATACAAATGAACATACCAAAACTGTTCCAGACTGAAAATTATTTTAAAATGCTGGTAATAAAATTATTATTTTGTGCTGATCACTTTTCATTACACCAAATAATTTTCACAGTAAACTTTCAGAAATCCATCTGTTAATGAGAAGAGTTCAGTGCTAAACAATCGTTCCAGATTTGGTGGTGAGAAGGTTATGCTGTGGTAATGTGTTCAAACATCTGTCGTCCTTATTCCTGCTAATTTTCTTGATAATTTTGTCAGATTTGATCTGTCTATGATCTAGTCTGTGATTGAAGAGGCTAGTCTGCAGTTTTCTTCAAACATCTGTCGTCCTTATTCCTCCTAATTTTCTTGATAATTTTGTCAGATTTGATCTGTCTATGATCTAGTCTGTGATTGAAGAGGCTAGTCTGCAGTTTTCTTAGAGGAACATGCAATCAGCAGGCATTCAGATTATGTATGAATGAGAGGTTCTCCTCTTGTAAAATGACATGCATTTATGTAATGTTCTTATGAAACAGGGAGACTGAAGCCTTTATGCTTCTTTTTTGGGAAGTGTTTTATCTCTATTTTTGTTTATTTATACTGTTTTCAGGTTGGCCTGACAGATGACAGAGTCTATTTTTATTTTTGACTATTTAAATGTACGGTAAGACTAAAAAAATTTACAAATGAAAGCTCTGCATCTGTTTCTGAATACTTTTAGCAGTTATTGATTTCACATCACTGTCATTTTATTTCAAAGCTTATTAGCACAGTGTACTCTCATTTTAAGAGAATGCTATTAAAGGGATAGTTCACCCAAAAATTGCAATTCTGTCATCATTTACTCAGCCTACACTTGTTTTAAAACTGTATTGTATGAGTTTCTTTCTTCTGTTGAACACAAAGGAAGATATTCCGAAGAATGTTTGTAACCAAATGTTGACATTAGCCTTTGACTTCCATAGTATTTTTTCCATACTGTGGAAGTCAATGGCTACCTTCAACTGTGAACTATCCCTTTAACTGTTGTTGTTGTTGTTGTTGTTGTATATGGTTGATGACACATTTTAAATAATCACACTTTTAAAATGATACACTGCGAAGCAATGTTCTGTGCATTAACTTCATTTGTGTTAGATTTGCACTTAGAAAAAGAGAAAAAGATTGGCAGTGTGGTAATTAAAATAAACATTTTCTCTAAAAACAAGTATTTTTATCTTAAAAATGTAAATATTATTTGAGCGTGGAATGGAGTGAGCCATGTTTTAGACTTATTTTAAAAGAAATGACAATGACATTACATTCCTTTTCAGCTATTAAATTGATACATGTACAGTATGTGCTGAAATATATTCATATTGTTGTTTTTAACATATAATTAAAACTTGGATGCTACTGTAGATGGTGCTTCAGGCGTTTCATTGTGTAACAGCCTACACTATAATGCAAGGTAGTTCATTTTTGAATTTAATTAATTTATATGAACTAAAAATAAAATTTAAACTAAAATAAAATGAAAAATAAAGTGCAATCATACTATATTTTTTTGCGCTATCGTCCCTTTTACTGAGTTTAACAGGATTCACTGGCGTTGCTAGTGAAATTACAGTCTGACAGAAAGATTGATCTGATCTGTTCATCTGTGTGGATTCATTTACTCATTCAACTTGTTATATTGAATAACTATTTACAGGAATTCTCTGTATTTTAACTGCAGAACTGCTGGTAATGAATAAAATTACGTGCAATACAGAACCTCACCAAATTTCACCAGGCCTTTTTCAGTGTAGTTTAGCATCATGTTTTTGAGTAAGACTGTGTGTGATTAGACAGTTTCATCAGTGTGTTTGGCCACTTAATAAGGACATTTA